TTTAATAATTGTAAACAATTATTTCATTGTCTGTGTTTAGTAATTCCATTATCTGAATGTTTTTGTTTTTCTAGTCTCATTCTTTGATCCTTCTCCTGACTCTCACTCACTATGAATGTGAGCTCTTGCTTAGCAGAGCTTTATATTTGTAATCTTTAGGTGTACTTTATTGAGGGCGTGCCCTTTCAGAGAAATTTTAAGATTGAGTGCACAAGGTACCAACCCAGGAATAATTTTTTTTTTTTTTAAAGATTGGCACCTGAGCTAACAACTGTTGCCAATCTTCTTTTTTTTTTTTTTTTTTTTTTACTGCTTTTTCTCCCCAAATCCCTCCAGTACATAGCTGTATATTTTAGTTGTGGGTCCTTCTAGTTGTGGCATGTGGGACACTGCCTCAGCATGGCCTGATGAGTGGTGCCATGTCCCGACCCAGGATCCGAACCGGTGAAACCCTGGGCCACCAAAGCAGAGCATGCGAACTTAACCACTCAGCCACAGGGCCGGCCCACCAGGAATAATTTTAAGTTAAATACTTTCTATGGAATTTCTCGTCCTTGTCAATAGTATAAATTCAAGCCCAAAACCTATATGAGAGGTTTTTGTGAGAGACTTTTTAATCTCTTGTCCTTGAAATCCCAAGGCTCTTGGCTGAGATTGATAAATGTCCCAGAAAAACCAAAAGATCAGAGCCTCTGTATCAGTCATTTCCACTTTTTTCTCCAGTTTTGGCTATTGAAGATTTTCTTAACATATTTCTCTCAGTTGTGCGTTTCAAAGAATATTTGTTATATTTTATCTAATTGTCCAAAATGTTTTTGTACTGAGATCATTTGTTGTTGGTTTACAACATCTGATGCATCTTTTTGACTGAAATAGAACTACTTTAATTGGTCTTTTTACTTTAGCTCTGTAAGCAAAGATAAGGAACTCACAGCTAATTATGACTGAAGTAAGAGTTATTTGTATTTCAGCAGAAAAAAAGTAAGACCTAATGTTTAGCCTTTCTTTTTTTTTTCAAAGGAAGGCTATTCTGGGCTTTGGCTCAGGGGCTGTTTATGGAATATATGTAGTGAGGCTTAATCCTGCTAATTCCCTTTCATTCTTGGTGCCTTTTACTATTACCACTCGTCTTCTGCCCCTTCAGTCAAGTCCTGGACTTGCTCATGACCCATACAAGAAATGAGGACTGGAGTTTTGGTAAGAAATGAGGACTGGAGTTTTGGTATGGAGAAACGGAAATGCCAAAAGAAAGAGAAATAGGATGAAATTAGAAAAGAGGAAAAGTTCTCTAACCATCTATGTATGTATCTGTATTTCTGTGTGTGTGTGTGTGTGTGTGCGCACACGCACGTATGCCAGAGAAATAGAGAGTGAGATTCATATGAAAGTATGTATTATATATGCATGTATGTATTTCTGTGATATTATTGGAACTCAGGAATTTCATTGCTAAAATAATTTCCTATGCCTGGAGTACATACCTATTTGCATTTGTTTTTCATAAGTATTTCTGTAATTGATTCTACAAGTAAATACAGAAATAGCTGGCTTATTCCCACCACCTGCCTAGTACAGATATACAGAGAAGGCAATAATACATATTTAATTTGTTCCTCACTTTATTTTCTAACAAATCATGTGATTACAATATTGGAATGATATCCAACTTAGTCTTTTGTTCCTACATTCAAACACCAGGGTTCTTTTATAGAAAATAGATGCCTTTTATGAGAATTAAATGGTCAAATATAGAGAGGTGGGTGGCTAATTATAAATGTTATTTGAATAAATTTGCATATGAAAGGTTCTCAGAAAACTTCTTTTAAGAGAAAAGTTTTATAGGTGCACGTGCTATCTACAAATCATTCTTTTTGGGGTGACTCCATTCCCACATGTATGCTGGTCTCTCTGGAGTCAAAACCAAAGCTCCAAAGTTTTTGATAAGATTTTCTTCTTTTCTCTCAAGCAATTGGTTATCCACTTGTACGTTATCTGTTTTACCTGGAAGGACTTCCATATTTTGTGGATGCCATTCTCAAGACTTGATCAAAATACAGAAGAAAAAAGGGAATGGAAAAGAAATTTGGCCAAAAAAAGGAAAAGATAGAAAATTTGGATTGATAAAGGTAGTCAATTGGATAGAGGAGCATGTCGGACATTATGGATCGCTGAAAATATTTTGAGGCACTAGAACTAGAGGTTTTGATTGATCCTGTTCTTCAGCAATGCCAATCATGTCAAAGAAAATGTCCATTTAAATGTCCCTAGAACAGATATTGATTAAAACATTCCCTGCTTCACATTTGTTTCTAATGGGATTTTCTTTGTTAAATTGTGGTTGCCTTTGAGTGAAACAGGAGACTGCCATTGGATCATTGTTCTCAGGAAGCCATAGACCCCTGAAGTCCCTCCCAGCTATATGTGCACAGAAGTGCAAGGCATTCAAGGGTGCTTTGTTGTTAGTGCCTTCAAGTCAATTCCAACTCCTAGAGACCCTGTGTCGTGTAGAGGGGAGCCCTGCCATGTCTTTTTGCACCATCCTCTCATCTTCCGGTGCTCTATCACACAATGCTTCACTGTTATTCATAGGGTTTTTATGGCCAATACAGTGTAACAACTGACAGACAGGTGTGGCTCCCTGATTGGGAAACAAACCCAGGGCCACAGTAGTCAGAGTGCTGAATCTTCACCAGCAGACCACCAGGGCTGGCCACTGACAAGACTGCTTACCACTGATGTTTTTCTGTTTCCTCCTCTACCAGTGCTCCCCCCAGCAAATCAGTATGTGAAGTCCATACTCTATTTTATAAGAAAATCAAAGTAATATATAGATGATTGTGAGGTGTTAATAATTATATTAAAACTGAATGATCCATTTTTATTAATATTTCTAGATTGCTCCCATAATGATAGCTCATTACTCTTGTTAAAACACTTTGCGAACTTTGATACTTGTAGGGGAAAGTGTCCACTAATGACCTGGTCGCAGACTCAGACTATGAACACATGTTAAATTACTGAGTATTACTCTACTTTAGAAGCTTCCGTGAATCACAAATTTAAAAAAAAAAAGCTTTATTTGTCTTAATTGTGTGTTAAACCCATGTTCTTCCTACGAGAATGAGTAGGAGTTGGAATGAACACTTAATCCAAGAAGCTAAAGGTTGAAATAGCACATTCTAGGCTTAGATAAAAAGAATCTAAAGAAGTTTTTCCTCTCATCAAATTAAGAAACGCTTTTATTTTCAATATCTAGATTAAAATTTTTACATTTGTTATTTAAAATTTTATTATTCAATTCAATAATACTTACTCAGGACGTTTAATATATTACACAAAAACAGTAAGAAAGTCTTCAATAAAATGGGTGAATAGATAGCCGATTTATAATCATCTAGGGAAAAAAAAAAAACTGATATGAGTAATTGCACAGAATTGTTTGCCAACCTTTTGAAGCCTAAGTGGGATTGTGGGCCCAGAAGGAGATTGAAGGATGAGACGTTGTGAGAATGTAATACACATGCATGCTTCCTATAAGCAGAGTCTGATCTGGCATGGTTATCTAGGCCAGGAGTGCAAAATTACCAACAATGCAAGGATGTCACTTCATTCTCCATAAAAAGATAGAGTCTCTTTTCTAAGATTGTGCTACGATTTCAGTCTTGCTGCTGGGGTGACCATGTTAACTGTTCAAAGCAAATCTGTCGCTGTCCCTCAAAATACTAATTTCAAACTTATGTTGTGCTAATAGAGGGCCAGAAAGTACTGTCACCTTTCCATACAGAATTCAAGCCTGCGAAAAAAATGTTTTTTAAATCAAAAAAGCAGAAAATGTATTCCCATGTGATGCAAAAAGTCTTAACTTAGCTCAAAAGTCATTTATCAATGGAGGAAATTTTCTTCAACTTCAATTCCTTAATTCATTTTGTCATGAAACTAAAATGTTTCATTGATAATGGATTTACTATTCCTTTAAAATTCAAGCTTAATTAGCAGAAACAGGTGCAATGCAGCTATACTTTTCTCTTAAAAGATGGCAGATGAACATAAGGAAAAAGCACACAATGTACTATCTCTATATTAAATGCATTTTTCCCTTTAGCTCAAGCAGCATCTTCTGGACATTCCCCATGCCAAAGACAGCAGGAAGTCATCTGAGTAGGCAAAAATAAACAGGGTCATGGCATGAACACCTGTATCTTTAACACAAGATAGAATTTGTTGACTACCGTAATGAAGTACAAAATACACTGGGAACACCTAGAAAAAGAAGAGTAATTCGTTCCTTCTCTGAGTGTCAAGACAAGCTTCACTGAGGACATGTTAATTGAGGCGGCCTTAAAGAATGGGTAGAAAGAATATTGAGGCAGAGAAAAAGGGGTGAACCAAAGCATTGTTCAAAAAAAAGAAAATGTGTTTAAGATGATGTTAGTATAGGGCGCAAAGGAAAATAGTGGGAGATAAACTGGAAAGGTAGAATAAGGATGCACTGGAGAATTATGGGAGAGAATCGTAGGAAGGTACAATAGGGTGAATGACTGAAGGTGCTGAGCGCTATGCTAAATACTTTCATTTTTTTTGTATAGACAATAGAAATTTTGAGCTCAGCAAGGTGATTTCTATGGCATTATCAGAGCTGTGTATTAGGATAAGTATTTCACAATTGTGTTCATGCCAGAACCAAGACTATATTACACAGGAGACTCCATTTCTGCCTACCTTTTAAACTTGAATATAAGAAAATATCAATGCAAAATATAGATATGTCAGTATGTATATAAAAAAGATTTTGAAAAACAACCAGTTATCTAATTTGAACCTAAAATGGTGAGGATGAAACCCTTCAATTTCAAAAAACTAAATGATCGAGATCAAAGTATCCTTATTGCTTATTTAATTTTGGTTCTGTAGACACATTCATAATCTGTGTTGGAAGCCAATTTGAAAGTTTTTCATAGTGTTTATGATTGCAATATCAAAATACTTTTCTGCTGTTTCAGATGATGGTGCCTGCGAATTAACTGAACGACTGTGGTAAGTTGCTTTTTCTCTTTTCAGATCTGCATAGAATGTTTTATTCTTTCTGTGATTCAAAAGGATTTATGTTGCCTATAAAACCTATAAGAACATGAACACTGGGGCTAGCCCGGTGGCGCAGCAGTTAAGTTTGCACGTTCGCTTCTCGGTGGCCCGGGGTTCGCCGGTTTGGATCCTGGGTGTGGACATGGCACCGCTTGGCAAAGGCCATGCTGTGGTAGACGTCCCACATATAAAGCAGAGGAAGATGGGCACGGATGTTAGCTCAGGGCCAGGCTTCCTCAGCAAAAAAAGAGGAGGATTGGCAGTAATTAGCTCAGGGCCAATCTTCCTCAAAAAAAAAAAAAACAGTGAACACTGACATGGACTGAAAGCCAGGCATGCCCTAAAGTAGGCTGCATTTTTTCCCCGGGGGTAACCTTTCCCTTTTTCCTTCTGAACTGAGCCAAGACTGAACAAATCAGAGAGTCTCCCGTACATGCACACCAGGAGTCTAGGAGAGGCTACTGTTTTCTGAATGTTTTCCATGTCACATGTACCATCTGCTTGCCCAGGGATGACCCTGAGAAAACACCCAAAGGTTCACACCATCAAAAGCAGAACGGCTTGTAAAGAAATAAGTTTTTTTACAAAAACAATAATTTAACATTATATAGAGGTTTGGTAAGAAGCAGCAGATGTTTCCCTCTTTTCTGTCCCCATTTCACGGCAGTGTTAGCAATCACGGCCGTGATGTACGCACAGGCTGATTTTCATTTTTCCAGTTTCATAGCTGATTAAATTCGACTTTGTTGTAGTTGAATTATCATATTGGAAAGCAGACATTGAAAGAGAGTTTTCTTTTCTGTCTTTGTTATGAATATGTTGTGGCTCATTTTAGGGGCTTCTACTGGGTAATATTCTGTGAGGGAGAAGGAAATATGGTATTAAATATTGTAAAAAATGTTAATGATGACAATAAAATATATGCTGCAATAGTTTGCCCTTGAAAAAAGAAAGAGCTTTCCTCTGGCAATCCATCAGGCCTTTTAGGATCTTTTGTTTCTTCAAGTAAAACTAAGAATCTACTTTTCAACCAGATACTGTCAAGAAAGACGTTTGTTTTCATAGTCTTCACTTAATCAAACCTCAATCAGTTAGAAAAGTAATAGCTTGCTGTTAGTTACTGTTTTGGTAGTTGCAAGGTATATTTTATAGTGTTTGTATTGTTAGTGAAACACTCAACACTTACTGGCACAAATCTATTATTCTTATAAGAAGAGAAAGAGGAAAAATAATTTCTCTATCTCAACTTAAAAACGCCTTGGATTATTATGATTACTCACTGAAAACTAAGATAAGTGGGTATAGTCTGAATCCATCTAATTCATCTCTGGAGAAGTTGGTATCCTTTTATCTCTGTCTTGGAAGAACAAACCTAACATATTTGTATATTTTTACAGTACTGGGAAATTGGTGTTTTCGTGGATACTCTTCACATTGTCAGACTAGTAAGGAAAAGACTTTGCATCAGGTTGTTACTCATTTTACTTCCGTGAGGTTTTTCCAGTTTAGAATAGATCAAGAGAAAGTGTCACTATTTTTGTTTATTCAACTCCAATAAAGAAAAGATTATGAAAGAGTAACTTTGTATAGCATCCTGCTCCTACCCATAGACTAAACTGCATGGTAAAATAAGAGATGGCCAGAGTGAGAGATGGTTGGAAGGAGAATAATGAAAAGTTTGGAAGTGTAAGAAAAATTTACAAAAAGTTTGGATAAGAAAGAGGAATGGGTAGCTGGATGGGATGCTGTATAGGATGTTACTTAAGGAAGAGCAAATATTGGGGAAAAAAATTTGTGAGTCTTACTGTATATTACATAGTGATTCTCAAACATTAACTTGCCTATCAATCACCTGGACTATCTTGTTAAGATGCAGACTTTAATTCATTGGGTCTATAGTAAGTCTCAAGAATCTGCATTTCTATAGCTCCCAGGTGATGCCAAAGCTGCTGGTCCAAGAACCACGCTGTGAATAGCAAGATATTACATAAATTATTCTCTCCTTTTGACTCTTATTTGAAGAATTGCAGTCAAGACATTACTTTTCAAGCATTTGATTTGGATTGGATTTTTAGTGTTCTTATTTCACTGTGTAAAGATCAATCTTAAGATTAGAGAAAAAATGCCCAGTTTCAGTTCAGCCACACACAAAAAGAACTGAGTCTTGCTAGCTCCCAGGGTCTACTTTCCCTTTCATTAACTGGTTAATCTATGGTAAACTGTGAAAGATCAAAGAAAGTCAATCTGTCTGAGTCAAAAAATTCTCAAGTGAATGAGATGTAAGACTTTGCAAAAAATAAATGTATTTTTCTAATATTGCAATCTATTCAATAGCAGTCATATCATCACCTTGAAATGGTCAACTTATAAAAAGCAACAGTGGATGTGGTGGTTAGAGAGTCCTAACTATAATATAACTAGACATGATCATCATTGCTATGCTTGCAAGTGCTTGACTTTTTCCTTGTAAATGTAGTAAAATGTCATTGGTTTTGTATCATGTTTCTATTTACATTATGAATGTTCTCTAGTCTAATTGTTAAGCTTATTCACATTCCAGGGAGATTATCAAGAAGACAGAATAGAAGTCAGACCAGGCATGGTGGGTCAGTAACCATGAATAATAAAGCCAAGAGGGTAGTCCAGTGATGTAAGGAAATTTGAAGGGCTTTCCAGAAACTGGATTCCCATAAGAACCTGGAAAAAGCCTTGAAAGTAGAAGCCTAAAATCAATCTGAAGTTTTCTGCTCAACCTCTTTCCTCTAGATGAGTGTTTCTTCATCCAAACTGCATGTCAGAATCACCTGGGGAGTTGAGAAAAAAATAGTTAATGCCTGGGCTGCACCCAGACCAATTAACTCAGTCTGTCCCTCAGGGTGGAGCCTGGTATCCAAAGACTGATGCTCCTGCTTCCTGGTGATTCCATGGTGAACTGAGGTGAGAACCAGTGCCCTACATTAGGGCCTGAAATTTGCATTTTTGACAAGCTCCCAAGTAATGTTGATTTTGCTGCCCCATGGACCACATTTTAAGAATCAAGATTCTACCAGTCCTTTTAAGTTTTTCCTCAAGTTCTGGAAGGGTCAGTGTCACTTGGAAGTAGTTATCTTCTCTCTAAGGAAGAGAAGAAAGGAGAGAAGAGAGACCCAAATGGCACATGGTAGGGACCCTGAGTAGAATACTCAAATCCCCATGATTGGATTTGAAGGGCAATGGAAAAATCTCTGTACTCCAAAATATCTCATCTAATTAAATCGCATAGTACCTGAACTTACACTAATTAAAACTCATTTGATTTCAGTACTTTCCAAGCCTGACTATGCAAACATTATCTGATGCGGGTTGGCAAGCCGAGGAGTCGAAAGAAAGATTTCTTGGACTCTCAAGGTCTGGCAGTAATGCTCTTTTATTTAGAGCATAGTGTGGAATAGCATGGGGACAGGACCCATGGGCAGTCAGAGCTGCTGCAAACATGGGTTGAACATAGGACGAAATTTAAGGCATAGGTATGTGAGTTATCTCTTTACAAGACAAAGGAAAGAATACGTAAAAAGTCATTAAAATGGTATCAGTGTAGGTGGGGTCTGGTTATTGGGTGGTCCTATAACTTTAGATAAGAATCAGACCAGATTAAGTCAGGATGTCCTATGCTTCCCAGAGGATGTTGGTGGTGGGGGGAGTCAGCTACATGAGGTTACCAGGCAAGCACAATAAAACTTAAGTCTTTGCCGTCCCCATTAAGAGTTTCTAGAGATAAGGTCATCCCCCTTTCCTCCTGGTGCAGAGAGGGAGACACCCACACAGATGGAGACTTCCTTCACAAGTGCAATTGTCTCTCATCAAACGGCAAGCAAATTCCACTCCTCAGAGCCTCCTTCCCTTCTGCAGTTTTTAAAAGTAAGCAGCCTAAAATAATCCTCATCATTATCCTTTGGTACAATTGTTAAAAATACAGAGGATAGATGGAAGGGGTGGATTGTGCAGGAAACTGAACTTTACCAATCATTCCAGATGATTCTAATAAAAAATGGAGTTTGACAGCCATTGTTTTAGACCACACACTGTTACCATCCAAGGAGGAAGTCATCTGCCCACCGAAAGACATGCCAATAGCAGAGAGGCAAGGGGGTAGGAGAGAAAGGGTTTTATTACAGCTTGCTAACAAGGGGGAAGATGGCTGACTAATGTCCGAAAGAATCATCTTACAGAACAAAGACTATAGGCCAGTTATATAGGGGGCTGGTCTCTGGGTGGGACAGACATCTAGTCTACAGGGAGGACAGACATCTGGTCTTAGTTCCTGTTAATCTTTTGTTTTCCTGGATATGCATCAGAGACCAGAGCAATGACCTATACCCAGATCTTTCTGTTGTCATTGATGATGGCTATCAGCATAGACTCTCTGCCCAGGGGTCATCACATTCCTAAAGAACTCAAAAAAACAAAGTTATCAACTTATAGCAGCTGAGAGGGGCCATAAAACCTACAGAACATGTATGTCTCCTGGAGGGTGCATATCCAGCTGGGTTAATCAGAGGTCATTCAAAGTTACAATATGGTTTCTTTTCTATACTATGGCTTCCTTTATGTCAACCTTGTTCTGAGCCGGTATCAACACTACCTTCTTTTGATATGTATAAATATTCCTCTTCTTTAAGTTAACATTCATATATACTATTCCATGTATCAACAGAGCTCAATGTAACAGCAAATAGTAATAATAGCTAACAGTTATCTGGTGCTTATTATTTGTCAGACACTGTTCTGAGTGTTTTATGTGCACTAAAACAATCCTAGATAGTATGTGCTATTGTTATCCTCTTAACATATAAGGAAACTGGGGCACAGAAATATTAAATTGCCCAAGCTCACATAGCTGGTAACTGGCAGAACTGGGATTCAAACCCAGGCCTTCTGACCACACAGCCCTGCTCTGCCAAACTACCAATCAA